CCATCCTTCCCTTTGTGTGTCTGTGTTGGGGGTGCATGTATGTGCCAACCTTCCCTTCGTGTATCTATGTTTGGGGGTGCATGTATGTGCCATCCTTCCCTTTGTGTGTCTGTGTTTGGGAGTGCATGTATGTGCCATCCTTCCCTTTGTGTGTCTGTGTTTGGGAGTGCATGTATGTGGTGGCTAGGAGACAACCTCAGGGGTTTCCCCCTTTGCTCTCTACCTTATTTTTTAAGACAAACTCTCTGAACCTGGAGCTTATCAATTCATTGAGCCCCAGAGGGTCTGTCTGTGTGTCTGTCTGTCTCTTCTCAATGCTGGGCTGTGTTCTTGGGGGGTCTCATGTTTGTGGGTCATGCTTTACCAGCCTAGCCATCTTAGTCCTTCTGCTGCTTTTTCTAAGGGCTTCCCATAGCTTGTGTGTGGTACGGGCATTCCTGTATTGCACACATCATGACACACAGTGTGGACTGCCTTCTTATCAACTCGAGTTCCCACCTTTTATGGTGATTCACTCGATGTAATTTAGTTTTTAGCAGGGATGGGAGGTGTGCCAAGGTCAGAGAAAAACTTGTAGGAGTCCTCTCCTTCCACCACCTGGGTCTTAAGGAATGGAACTCAGGTACCTGTTGAGCCATCTTGATAGCCCTTATTAATTTTTTGAGAAACCATCTCCCTATGTAGCAGAGATTGGCCTTCAACTCTTGAATCTCCTGCCTCAGCACCATGAGTGCTGGGGAGTATAGGCACGTGTCACCACACTAGACAAGCTCCCCATTTCAATGCTTTCTGTATCCTATTTAAGAAATATTGGCCCACCCCGGGCTTTGTGGGCACTGTCTTTTCTTCTGGAACTTTCTTGTATTCTTCATGCTATGGCACTGGGCATCTAGGCTGAGCTGGTATGTGGGAATGAGGCAAGGGCACCCGCTGTGCCTGTGGATACTTGGCTATATGCTGGAGAGACTGTCTTTCCTGTTAGTCAGGGACTGTGCTTCTGCTTCTGGACACCACCTGTCCTGTTGGCCAGTGTTCTAGTTTGTGACAACAGCGCTGTCTTTTTTTTTTTTTTTTTTTTTTTGGTTTTTTGAGACAGGGTTTCTCTGTGTAGCCCTGGCTGTCCTAGAACTCACTCTGTAGACCAGGCTGGTCTCGAACTCAGAAATCTGCCAGCCTCTGCCTCCCAAGTGCTGGAATTAAAGGCGTGTGCCACCACTGCCTGGCAACAGCGCTGTCTCAAACCACCAGTTTCATTTCTTTCCCTCCCTCCCTCCCCTAAAGGGCGTTCGTTACTTAGTAGTGGCCTCGGTGGATCTGGAGATCACTATGTAACTCAGGTTGGCCTTGAACTGGTAATCTTCCTGCTCCAGCCCCTGAGTGCTGGGGTTATAGGCATGTGCTACCACACTTGGTCACTTGTGAGTCTGAAGGGGAACCCACTGACTGGCAGCAGGGGACAGTGTGCCAAAGGCCCCAACGTAGGAGTTGTGGCACATATTTGAAGGGAAAGCCATGAAAGCTGCCTGGGTAGGGTGGAGGCTATGTCAAGGACTTCACACTGTGCCAGACATGCACACACGGGCAGGTGGACACCTGTACCCTCATTCAAAAGAAACCCTGGAGAGAAAAAAATTCTGAGGTCTAAACTGGGTATGGTGGCACAACCTGTAATCCCCACAGCAATAATCGGTTCAATATTAGTCTTGGTTACATATCAAAATTGGGACCAATCTGGGCTACATGAATTGCTACCCTAAAAACATTAAAAAAAAAAAAAAGACGTAAGCCTAGATATGATGGATTCCTCCGCCCCCATTATCCCAGCACTCTGGAAACTGAGGCAGGAGGACTGTGTGTCCAAAATAATAGGATACAAAATAAGCCCATCTTTAAAAAATACAAACGCCTTGAGACTGACACAGGAGGGTCCCAGCACCTAGCCTTACCTGTGTGGTCACGTAGAGACTAGAGGACATCACTAGCTGAGGAATGGCTTCTCTCCCAGGCAGCGGCCAGGGATGCAGTAGATGCTCTCCCAGGGCAGTGACCAGGGATGCAGTAGATGCTCTCCCAGGGCAGCGACCAGGGATGCGGTGGATGCTGGGGCTGAAGACAGCCTTGTTTGAATGTATGCCCCAGCTGAGGGCATGACTGAGGTAGAGAGGAGCCTCTGCACTTCCCAGGGGACCAAAGGCTTTGGGCCACTGGGCCCTACTGCTTGGCCCAGTTGGCAGGAGTGGTTTTCAGGCCTGATGCCTCTCCTAGCCCCTTGGAGCAGCAGGTCAGGCCAGGCTTAACTGGGATCCCTTTGGTGATCCTGAGAGCCTAGTGCCAACCACTCTTTTTGGCTTTCTTTGGTGTAAGGAACAGGAGTGACTCTGGAATGTGCCTGGGTCAGGTCTCACAGCTGGTGGTGGGAGTGAGGGTCAGAGTGTAGAGTGCAGCAGGAAGGGAACCAGGTACAGGCCGCTCTAGTGCCAGTGGTCTCTTGTGTGGCTCTGTGGCCTAAGAGAAGTGTTGCAGAAGGAGCTGGGGCAGTGATGGGCAAGAGGGCCATGTACTTGCTGGGCACAGAGACAGGGAGGCCAGGAGGTCTGAGGAGCCTGGGATACGCAGGGACCTGGCCTCCCTTCTTCCCCACTGTGTGGGAAAGAGGAAGCAGAAAGAAAGGGCTGGCCACTGCCGGCCTGGCGGTTTCCTCTGGGCTGGGGAGGAGGTGGCGGGGAGGCAGGAAGCCGGGTTCCAGGCTCTGTGGCCCCATATCCCCACCCCCCACTCAGCCATGGGAACAAAACTTGACCCTCGAAAGCAGGTCCCCCTTTGGGCCTTTTGAGCTGCCGTCCCTGGTGTAGTGCCTGTCCTTTTACTTCTTCACTTTCCTTGTGACAAGCACTATAGTTGACTCTGCTATGGAGTCCTCCCACAATACCATTGAGGGGCCTATCATGAAGTCAACTCTCGGACGAGAAGACCAAGGTCACACAGCCTAGAGGTGGAAGAGGCAGAAATGGGGTTTTCTGTGAGCACAGGGCAGGGAACAGTAGGGTTGGGGTTGTTTAAATCTCTAGTTTGCAAAGCAAGCCCTGCCTGCAGAAGCCACACTCAAGATGTCATAGTGCTTGACA